TTTTTTTTTTTTTTTTTGAACATGGTAGTGATTCATTGGGCTTAGTTTTATTATTATTATTTTGTTTTTTGAGCCATAGTCTCACTCTGTTGCCAGGCTGGAGTGCAGTGGCACGATCTCGGCTCACTACAACCTCCGCCTCCTGGGTTCAAGCGATTCTCTGGCCTCAGCCTCCGGAGTAGCTGGGCTACAGGCGCGTGCCACCATGCCCGGCTAATTTTTTGTATTTTTAGTGGAAACGGGATTTCACTGTGCTAGCCAGAATGGTCTCAATCTCCTGACCTCATGATTCACCTGCCTCGGCTTCCCAAAGTGCTCGGATTACAGGCGTGAGCCACCTTACCCAGCCTTATTATTCTTTAAACTGTTTTATTGTATATGTTCTTTGTCATAGGTCATATATGCACACAATGTCACATCCTCAAAAAATATTGAGAAAGAGAAAGATTTATTTAAGCATTATGCATAGAAAAGATCAGAAATAGACATAACAAAGTGCTGTATTTTTTTAATTAGTGATTTTCTATATCTTCCCATTTTTGCAGCCGTCTTCCTTAGTTATGTTACATGGTACCGTATTAACTATTATAAAGGGAGAATTACGCATACTATACAAATGCCAGGGGAAAAATATCTCACTTTCGATTAATTATTTAAATGCATTTATGTCGGAATATGACACATAAAATACATGTCCTAAGTTCCTAGTTTTTTTGTTTTTTGTTTTTTGTTTTTTTTTTGAGACAGAGTCTCACTCTGTCACCAGGCTGGAGTGCAGTGGCGCGATCTTGGCTCACTGGAACCTCCGCCTCCCAGGTTCAAGCAATTCTCCCTCCCATGTAGCTGGGTTACAGGCGCCTGCCACCACGCCTGGCTAATTTTTGTATTTTTAGCAGAGATTGTGTTTTGCCATGGTGGCCAGGCTGGTCTCAAACTCCTGACCTCAAGTGATCCACCTGCCAAGGCCTCCCAAACGTACATATATAGTTGACCCAAATCAACATAGGTAATATATCTAGCGACCGACCAGGATTCTATATCCTTCCTCCCAGTAGATTGACCCCAGAACTAGCCACACTGCTGATGTATGTCACCTTCCATTCATTATGGAATCATACATGGTTATCCCTTTAACTTCCTTTGTTCAACATTCTATGACATCTATTCATGTGGTTGCATGTATCATTTGTTTATTTCTTTTTATTGATATGTAGTGTTCTATTTATTAATTCTTATTTTTAGAACTTCATTTTTTTGCAACAAGATTTTGCTTGGTAAAACCTTTACAAAGTTATTTAAGTAGTATTATTCCTAGAAAAAAATCTATACCCTCTCTTTATGCAGGTCTGTGTAAAACAAATGACTACTTTTTCAAACAAAAAGGAATTTTTTTGTCTTTACTTTTTACTTATTTTAAAAATATATTAAATACATGTTTTGTCTTTTCATATTTGTTTCATATCACTTGCATGCAATTAATTGCATTACACATGCAATGCAAGTGTAATCCAAGTATAAAGAACCTAGATCTTCGAAGTGGAAGAAATGAGAGAAATAGTAGTAGGTGACATTTACCTATTTGTTACAGAGAGAAGCTGCATGAAGCCAATAATGAACTACAGAAGAAGAGAGCCATTATTGAAGATCTCGAGCCAAGATTTAACAACAGCTGTGAGTTTTCTTAATTAGGATAGTTTTTAAATGGGCTTGCTGTATACTGCCATAGTGATAGTGAGTTTACATAATTTTATTTATTTATTTTTGAGGCAGCGTCTGGATGTGTTGCCCAGACTGGAGTAAATGGCATGATCACAGCTCACTGCAGCCTGACCTCCCATGCTCAAGCCATCCTCCCACCTAACTCCCCCTAGTAGCTGGGACTACAGGCATGAGCCACCCTGCCCAGCTAATTTTTTTTTATTTGTAGTAGAGACGGGGTTTCACCATGTTGGCCAGGCTGGTCTTGACCTCAGATGATCCACCTGCCGTGGCCTCCCAAAGTGCTGAGATTACAGGTGTGAGCCACCACACCCAGCCAAAACACACCATTTTAAGCCATTTTTCCTGTGTAGTCCAACGACATTAAGGACATTGACATTGTTGTGCAACTGTCACTGTTAACCATCTACAAAACTTTATCATCTCAAACAGAAGTTCTTTTTTTTTTTGAGACAGAGTTTCACTCATGTTACCCAGGCTGGAGTGCAATGGCACGATCTCGGCTCACCGCAACCTCCGCCTCCTGGGTTCAGGCAATTCTCCTGCCTCAGCCTCCTGAGTAGCTGGGATTACAGGCACATGCCACCATGCCCAGCTAATGTTTTGTATTTTTAGTAGAGACGGGGTTTCACCATGTTGACCAGGATGGTCTTGATCTCTTGACCTCGTGATCCACCCGCCTCTGCCTCCCAAAGTGCTGGGATTACAGGCTTGAGCCACCGCGCCCGGCCAAACAGAAGTTCTTACCCATTAAACAATAACTCTCCCTTCCTCCCTCTTCCCACCCCCTAATAACCGTTATTCCATTTTCTGTCTCTGTGAATTTGACTATTCTAGGTCACTCATATGAGTAGAATTATATAATATTTGTCCTTTTGTATCTGGTTTATTTCACTTAACATAGTGTCTCCATGTCATAGCATGTATCATAATTAAGGGTGAATAATATTATAATGTATATATGTATCACATTTTGTTTATCCATACTGGAGTTTTTAATTTATTTATAAGAAAAGCTTTTTGTAAAAAAAATTAAAAATCTGAATTTTTTTAGAAGAAAATTATGTATAAAAATAGACCAGCTTATTTGTTGTTAGTCAACTAAAATGTTTTTAAAATTGTTGTAATCTAAAATAGACAATTTATATATATTTGTTAGATAAATATATGTTTATATATATAGTACTGTGTCTCATCTGCAGCCTTAAAAATTGAAGAATTACAAGAAGCTTTACGAAAGAAAGAAGAGGAAATGAAGCAAATGGAAGAACGATATAAAAAATACTTAGAGAAAGCCAAAAGTGTAAGTATGAAATTTGGAGGCATCTCACTTTATTACCTTCTGATCACATTTCAGTGAAGTCTCAAATGTAATGGATTGACACTACAGCAACTTCTCATGCAGAAAACTCTCAGGAGAAGAACAAATCTTTTAACAAATAAAAAGAACCTGAGCAAGAAGCAGTGGTCAAAATAGGTCATTCCATGGATTACTTACTAATTACTAAGAGGAAAATGTACTTTGTGTGGGAAATGAGTGGCACTTGCCACCTTACTAGTCAACAAAATTAACAACACTAATTAATGATGGGACAACTGATATACTGTGCCTCCTGATGGAGTATCATTCTAAATAATAGTTAACCTGAATTTAAGTAACCTTGCAGTTCCAGTTCACAGGCAAAATGAGGTTTATTGGAACAAGCTAAATAACATGTTCAAAAAACCATCAGGTAAATCCAGAATTTAGAATAGAAGTCACTGTCATGAAAACAAGAACAGACCAACAGACTGTGGAGTGTGGGAGAGCACAGGGACCCATTGAAAAGAGGACCCCCACCCTCTGCTAATTGCCAAATCAATGTATTCACCCCTGAGTCCTAGACTGGGGGTTAAGGGGGTCAGTTTTCTTACAGATGATGATGGTTTGTGATTATGTAGGTTAATATCCTTAATCTAAGGAGATACGTGCTTAAGTTTTTAAAGGTTATGTGTTATGAGATCTGAATAACTTATTTGGAGACGTTAAAAAATAGTCTCCCAAATAAGTAACCGTGTGTGTGTGTGTGTGTGTGTGTGTGTGTGTAGAGAAATCGAATATGGCAATGAAGCAATTGGTGACTCTAGGTTAAAGGTAAATGGGTTTTTATTCTACCCTTTCAAGTTTGAGGTCAGTCTGGGCAATATACCCAGACTCCATCTCTACAAAGAAAATGTTTTTAAAAATTAGCTAGTCATGGCCAGGCACGGTGGCTCACACCTGTAATCCCAGCACTTTGGGAAGTCGAGGCGGGCTGATCATCCAAGATCAGGAGGTCAAGACCAGGCTGACCAACATGGAGAAACCGCATCTCTACTAAAAATACAAAATTAGTCAGGTGTGGTGGCACATGCCTGTAATCTCAGGAGAATCACTTGAACCCAGGAGGCAGAGGTTGTGGTGAGCTGAGATCGCGCCATTGCATTCCTACCTGGAAAACAAGAGCAAATCTCCATCTTTTTTTTTTTTTGGGGACGGAGTTTCGCTCTTGTTACCCGGGCTGGAGTGCAATGGCACGATCTCGGCTCACCACAACCTCCGCCTCCTGGGTTCAGGCAATTCTCCTGCCTCAGCCTCCTGAGTAGCTGGGATTACAGGCATGCGCCACCATTTTTTGTATTTTTAGTAGAGACGGGGTTTCACCATGTTGACCAGGATGGTCTCGATCTCTTGACCTTGTGATCCACCCGCCTCGGCCTCCCAAAGTGCTGGGATTACAGGCTTGAGCCACCGCGACCAGCCGAAATCTCCATCTTAAAAAAAAAAAAAATTAGTTGGTCATGGTGGCATGTAGCTATAACCCTAGCTGTTCAGGAAGCTGGAGCAGGAAAGTCACTTGAGCCCAGTGGTTCAAGGCTGCAGTGGGCTATGATCACACCACTGTACTCCAGCCAGGATGACAGAGCAAGGCCCTATCTTTTAAAATAAAACTAAATAAAAATATTGAGTGAAGAAGTAAAAATACCTTTCCCAGCAGTCCTCTAGTTGGCCAGTCAGAATAATCACATCCAAAGTCCGTGCCAACCTGGATTGCCAGCAGAGGAAGAGATGGGCACAGCGATAGGCTTACACTAGTCAGGACCCTCTCCCCAAAGTACATATCTGATTAGAGGCAGAAGGCTAGCAGACTAGATTAGAGGGAAAGGAAAAGAGTGGACTACTGTCAGTAGTGTCTGCTCTACAGACACAAGTCATTTAACAACAGGGACACGTTCTGAGAAATGCATTCTTAGGCAATTTTGTCATTGTGTAAACATTGTAGAGTGTACTTATGCACACCTGGATGCTATATAGCTTAGTACACAACTAGACTATATGATATGGAGTATTGTTCCTAGCTGAAAACCTGTACAGCACTTTACTGTACTGAGTAGTGTAAGAAAATGGTTACACAATGGTATTTGTGTGATAGGAATTTCTCAGCTCCTTTACAATATGATGGTGGTCATCATATATATGGTTCATTGTTGACTGAAACATTGTTATATGGTACATAACTGCATTTATTAATTTTAAGCCAGAATTACTTTCTATAATTGGAATTTATAGAGGTAAAAAGCTTTATGTTTGTACAAATATTATATACCCCAGAAAATTTTATTTAAAGTTACAGTTAATACTATTTCATTCATTTGCTTTTTTAATTTTTTTGAGACAGAGTCTTGCTCTGTTGCCCAGGCTGGAGCACATGATGTAATCTCAGCTCACTGCAGCTTCGACCTCCCAGGCTCAAGGGATCTTCCTGCCTCAGCCTTCTGAGTAGCTGGGACTATATGGGTGCACCACCACACCCAGCTAATTTTTAAGTATTTTTTATAGAGATGGTCTCACTATGTTGTCGAGGCTGGTCTCAGACTCCTGAGCTCAAGTGATCTATCTGCTTCAGCCTCCCAAAGTGCTGGGATTACAGGCATGAGCCACCACTCCAGGCCACATTTACTTTTTAAAATACCCTTGTAAGATAACCTTTGATTTTTCATACGTTTATCCTTTCATTTAAAAAAAAATACTAATTCTTTTATCAAATGTTACATTCTTTAAGTTTGAGACTTTTAAAATTTTTCTATTATTTTTTGCAGGTTATTCGTACTTTAGATCCTAAACAGAATCAAGGAGCAGCACCAGAAATACAAGCTCTTAAAAATCAGCTCCAAGAACGAGACCGACTGTTTCACTCATTAGAGGTAGTTTACTATTCTGTATAATAAAATAGTTGCATTTTGATTTTAATGTCCTCGGAGCCTTGTTATATTTTACAGTTGTGTCCGTGGGTTTTAACGATTAATTTTAAGTATTTTATTTATATTGAGTTATTTTATATCTTTACATATTTACATGTGCTTTTGCTTTTTTAGAAAGAATATGAGAAAACAAAGAGTCAAAGAGAGATGGAAGAAAAATACATTGTTAGTGCCTGGTACAATATGGTAAGAACATAGTACTTTGGAGAATAATGAAAAGTTAAATGAATATGTAATACTTAATATTCCCTTTACTGTAGAAGTCATTCTACCAAATGAATCTGAAAGTAATTGCTATCCTAACATACACTAACAGAATCTTAATGCTATTTCTGAACTGAAAAGCTGATATGAGAACCACTGTAAACAGGGTTAGAGCATTTTGAAAACATCATTATTTCTAGAGGATAGAAAGATAAATGTCAGTCTAATTTCTGTCCCTCAGAGACTTTATTTTAAGGGAAGGGACACTAATACCATCTAAACAGATGCAATAGTTTTTGTTTTATGAGATTATTTCAGTGTCTTTACAGAATGGCACTTTGATTGAGGGTAGTTTATCTCACGGGGTTTGGAAAATGTTCACATTGTCAGACCCTGAACCACTGGAGGTTTTGAAATTGAATATCCCAACACAAAAACTGATACTCATTAGCATCCTGGTTGGGATGTGAATAGTTAGGGATTTTCAAGAGGGATTTTCAAGAGTGCTGCACTTCTTTCAGTATTTTCCCAAGACTTTCTGTCTTCCTTTTGATTTTTGTTCTTTTCAATAAGACCACTTCTGCCTTTTAAAAAATGTTAGTTAGCCGAGTGTGATGGCTCATACCTGTAATCCTAGCACTTTAGGAGGCCAGGCAGGTGGATCATGAGGTCAGGAGGAGAGACCAGCCTGGACAACATGGTGAAACCCCACCTCTACTGAAAATACAAAACTTAGCCGGGTTTGGTGCCACATGCCTGTAATCTCAGATACTCGGGAGGCTGAGTCAGGAGAATCGCCTGAACTTGGGAAGGGGAGGTTGTAGTGAGCCGAGATCGCACCGTTGCGCTCCAGCCTGGGTGACAGAGCAAGACTCTTTCCCAAAAAAAAAAAAAAGCTATCTGAGACAAGAAATGAAGAAATGGGACCAGATTTCTTTTATGTTTTTATTTTTATATTTTTTTGAGATGGAATCTTGCCTTGTCACCCAGGCTGGAGTGCAGTGGCACAATCTCAGCTGACTGCAACCTCCGGCTCCTGGGTTCAACTGATTCGCTGCCTCAGCCTCCCGAGTAGCTGGGAGTACAGTCACCTGCTATCATGCCTGCTGATTTTTGTATTTTTAGTAGAGACGGGTTCACCATATTTGTCAGGCTGGTCTCGAACTCCTGACCTTGTGATCTGCCTGCGTCAGCCTCCTAAAGTGCTGGGATTACAGGTGTGAGCCACCACACTTGGCCCCAGATTCCTTTTAACATCCCCCTGTGACCCTTTAGCTCTGTTATGGCACAGTACCATTGTTTTTATTTTACAGTTATAATTGATATTGCCTAAAGGTTAATGTCTGGCCTCTGAACACTGTGATTTAATCTCCATCAAAAATTCATAAATTTCATATATATTATTTTCACATCTATATTTCCCTTGGTCAAAATGGCATATCTATGGCCGGGTATAGTGGCTGATGCCCATAATCTCAGCACTTTGGGAGGTCAAGGCAGGCAGATTACCTGAGGTCATTAGCTTAAGACCAGTCTGGCCAACATAGTAAAACCCCTTCTCTACTAAAAATACAGCTACTTGGGAGGACGAGGCAGGAGAATCACTTGAACTTGGGAAGGAGAGGTTGATGGAAGTGATGGTTGAGGGAAATGATGAGTGCTGGAAGAGGTAATAAATAGCTCAGAGAATGCCCTTGCAATAGACTGAGGTCTTCAACCTGTGTCAAAATAGACTGAGGTCTTTCACCTCTGTAAAAATACAGAAATTAGTCAGTCATGGTGGCACACATCTGTAGTCCCAGCTACTCAGGAGGCTGAGGCACGAGAATTGCTTGAACCCGGGAGGCGGAGGTTGCAGTGAGCAAGGATTGCACCTCTCTACTCCAACCTGGGCGACAGAGTGAGACTCTGTCTCAAAGAAAAAAA